GCGCACAGTGCGGCCGATCCCGAAAAACGCGGACATAAACGACTTTTTCAATTTTGAGCTACAATTGTTTCCATAGTGGAATTCGAAACTAGGATGATTCTTACGTCTAAAAACAGTTTACTCATATTTTTGCACACCCGAGAACGTCTTCTGTAGCCCTTCAAAGATACGTGTTTTGGCGCCAACGAAAGGGGCAACATAACCTATACATGTTTCCAAAGCTTTTATCCAGTTCCTTGAGCCACCGAAGCAGGCCGCGAAAATGCCCCAGGTACAGCTCGATCCCTCGTCTTTCACGAGCAATAAGGAACTTTACCAATATTTGCAAAATAAGTATTCTAAATTAACTTTTTCCTGGGAGCCCGCGCGTCTTCAAATTCATATAGTTTCGATTGAGATATAAAATGATTCCCGGGGATTCCCGTCGTTTGGCGCACATCAAATTAAAGCTTGATACTTCCTTGATCGATTCCAACAAAGATTGGGCCCAGCACGCTCCAGCCGCAGCTGTGCTGAGCAAGTATGTTCCTTGATTTCTGCACTTGTCGCCATATTTTCACCTTAGTGGACGGGTCGGTATCGATACAACAATCACAGCAGGGACAGTCAAATTGAGTCTCCTCAAGTTTGGAAGGTCGGTGAATCCATCCGTGACCGCATTTTTGACTAAACAGGGGCGGAACCAGGAACAAAAAGGGGGGTAAATTTTGAAATTTGACCAAATTGTTTAAAATTTTGTATTGGGGAGTTTTAAGGGTATCTAAATCTATTTTTGGCAATTTTGTTGACCTATCAAGTAAAATAGAACTTTCCCCCCTTTTAACTCCCTGATCCGCCCCTGCTATAGCAAAATTAAGTTTTGAAATGGATTTAGAGACCCTGAAAACCCTCGGATGCAAAATTTCAGTCTGTTTGAAATACTTTTAAAATTTACCCCCTTTCATATTTCTGGTTCCGCCCCTGCTGTATCAAAATTGAGGTAAGAAATAGAAACAGAGACCCCGCAAACGTATCTGAGCGAAAACTCGTCGGCCTACGTTTGCTAGGAACAGTTTTTTTGAAATATGTCCGTCTTTTTCGAGATCGGCCGCACTGTGCAGCGCCGAGCAGCGCGCGGGGCCGCGGCCGCGGGTTACGTCCTGGCCGGGCCGGGCCGGGCCAGGACGCCAGGCCGCGCTGCCGCAGGCTGGACTAAACTGCGCAGGGCAGCAAGCGGCGGCAAGGAGATGACGGCGACGTGCATCCTCCACACGCGCACGCACGCCAGCAAATAAAGGCTGCGCACGCGCGCTCATTTCTCCGCCTTGGCGGCGTCACGGCGTCGCGGCCGGCCTGGCCAACGACGGCGTCCTCAGCCAATTAATGGGCAGCCGTTCATGAGCGGTGCCGCCACTCCGCCACCATTTCCCCACAGTTCCGCTTTGACGTCGTCACGCCACGGCGGCACGGCGGCACGGCGGGGCCGTCCGGCAGCGGGGACCGGCCGCCGCCACCGTCACTGCCGGACCGGCGGACGGCCGGGCCTTTAGGCCGCGCCTTTAGGCCGGGCCGCTCAATTAGGTGTCCAAAGCAAGCAGCGCGATTCGGCCATTCGACAGCCTGCGGCACGCTGCGGCAGCGGCAGCAACATCGCAATCCTCGCGGCCGCATAGCGCGCCGTCAGGCCGTCAGGCCGTCAGCGCGAACCGGACCAGCCGGACCGGCAGGGAAACAACACTTTCGACGGTGTTCGACGGCCGGCACCGAGCCCAGACAATACGAACAAACAGATAAAAAGTCATGGAGGAGCCGGCACTGCTAGTGTAGCGGGGCCGCGCGCACCGCGTGCTGCACGGCCGCGCTGGCGGGCTGGCGGGGCCACAGGGCAGGAGGCTCCGTGATTTCGGAGTTAGATCATAGCCGTGCGGGAGAGAGCAGCACAGGTCCAGGTTATGACGAGGCCCCGTTCACTGCGCCGCGGCGGCATGGCCTGGCGACCCGCTGCCGTGGCGGGGCGTCGAGGCAAGTCGAGTCGACGCGCTGCCATGGCGGGGCGGTGGCGGGGCTGACGGGGCGGCGTGCCATGGCGGGGCGGCCCGGGCCGGTCCGCCGAGCGAGCCACGGAAGGTCAGCCAGTCTACCCGCCCCTGCCGCGCCCCCCGCCCCTACTGCCTCCAGCTCCAGTCCAGGCCGCGAGCCTTCTGCTGGAACGTACGAGGGCGACGGTCCAGAGCAAACGGAGCAAGCGGCGGGGGAGGTACCGCGGCAAGCCGAACCGCGGTCCAAATCGGTCCACGCCGCCGCAGGCCCGCAGGCGCTGTTACACTAAAACCGCGAGCACGCACACGCACATGGAGCGCGCCGGGCAAGAATAGCCAGGTCGGCCCGGCCGGCTCGACAGGCAAGCAGGCGTCGGCAGGTTCAAGTGCCGCGCGATGCGATACAGGCCTAATTAAACTGGGAAAGTCCCCCTCCCCTCCCCCTTTAGAGTTATTACACGGTCCAGGCCATCGCGGAGAGAGAAGCACGGCCAAACTGGCTAGGCCGCTACGCCCCGCTCGGCCGAGCTCCCATTCAAACCAAGACGCCAAGGGGCAGCTCATCGTGGCCCCCGCGACCGGGACTCGTCACTGCACTGCACGGCCCGCACGGCCCGCACGGCCTGCACGCAGCGCGGGGAGCGGGGAAGTTCAGCCAGCCGCGATAACAGGCGACCCCCGTTCAGGCCGCGTGTTTCGCCATGCCGCGGACGGGACGGGCGTCGCTTGGCCAGGCCAGCCAGTCCTGCTAAAGATTACTGTACGCGTCAAAATCCGCTAAGGCGCGAGCGCGCGACTGTTGTGTGCTCGGAGGACTCGGCAGGGCAGCGCCATCAGGCGGCTGGAAGACCGCCTTACTTCCGGGACTCGTGCCGCGCCGCGCCACACCGCGGAGCTCGCGGAGCCTCGCCGCGGCCAGCAGCACACAGCAATCACGAAGCCAGCCTCAGCGCCAGCCTCAGCGCCAGCCTCAGCGCCAGCCCGGACGCCTCTCCTCTCCAGTCTCTAGAGGCAGCAGCCAGCCATAGTGCCGCGCGGCAGCGTAGCCAGCGTAGCACGCGGAGCAGCGCGGAGCCCAGCGGCACAACCGCCTGCCTGCCTGCCGGGAAATCCCCGGGCGAGCGCAGCGCGCAGCGGCCGCGACAAGCCCGCACGCACACCGCGCGCACCGCCACCGCCCCGCCGCGGGGGCCGCGGGCCTGGGGCCTCGGGCCTGGGGCCTCCAGCAGCACGCCGTCAACCATCCCGACGGGCGCCGGGAGTGTCCTTGAAAAAGGACGCCGAGTCGGCGCGCTAATCTGATATCGAGTATCACACGGCGGCCGAGAGGCACGGCGGGGCGGGGCGGGGCGTGCCGAGGGCGTGCCGAGGGCGTGCCGAGGGCGTGCCGAAGGCCCGTTTACAGCGTCCGGCGGGGAGGCCCGCGGCACCGCGACGCCGCGGCACGCGCGTGGACGCCGCGGCCCTTTTCCCGCACGCCCAGCACACTCTGAAACGGGGCCTCTCCCTCGCACTCGCGGGCCGTGGTGCGCGCCGCCTGTGGGTGCGAGAGAGACAGGCCGCCCCCCCTCACCCTCTTAGAGCCAGCCTGCAGGCCGCCGCGGCGGAGGAGCGAGCAGGCAGGCGAGCAGGCAGGCGAGCAGGCAGCGCGACAAACAGCGAGAGGAGAGGTCAGCCAAACCAGTTTGGAATCAGGCCGGCATGGGCAGCATCAGGCTGGGCCGGCCTGGGCAGCCAGCGGCAGCCAGGGCCCCGCCAGCCACCGCTGCAGCCGCGGCTCCGCAGCGTCACGGCGGCAAGCCTCGGCCGAACAGCGACAGCCAGAAAAGCGCCCCGAAAAGGGCCAAAAACTGAAGGCCCTCCCCGCCAGCCAGTCGGCCACGCACTTTTCGCGGAGGAGGACGATGCGGACGCGCAACGCCAGTGGGCCAGTGGCGTGGAGCGCAGCGCGCGGAGCGCCAGGAGGAATGCCAGTGACAAATTGCAACACGGCAAAACCTCTAGGCCTCGCCGGCCCAGCCAGGCAGTGCAGGCAGTGCAGGCAGCCAGCCGCGGCCTGGCGCTCTGGAATATCGTTGCGTGCGCGGTGCGCGTGCAGCGCGTGCTGTGCTGGCGTCATCTGCCAATACGCCAGCAAAAATGCGGCGCGCTCGGCACACTCACCGCGCAAACTGGGGCACCCGCGGCGCGGCGTGGCGCGAGGCGGACAAATCATTTAAAGAGGGACGCCAAAGTCAGCAGCGCGCCGACCGGGGCGGACCGGGGTACCGGGGCAAAGGGGAGTGCGTGCGCGGCAGACACGTCGTCGCGCGACCCGCGTCGTCGTCGGCCGCTCCGATTTCGCTGTGCTTCGCGCTTCGCTCGCGTCGAAGCGAATGTCATCACGCCGCGCATTGTCTGGGGCCGGGCCGGGCCAGCCGGGCCAGCCGGGCCGGCATCAGCACAACCCGAGCGCCGGCGCGCCGCAGCTGACGCGGCGCGCAAAAAAAGAATATCCAGACATCGAGACGGGGAGCACGGCACGGCGGCACGGCCAAGGGGCAGGCAAAGGCAAGCCTGGCGTAGGGCGCACTATCGGTGTCGCCGTGATAACCAGCGGTGGGGGAATCACCAGAGTGTGAAAACAAAGACCACAGGTCAAGAAGGGAAGTGCGAAGAAGGCGTGCTCGCCGCGCTACTCGGGTCCAGGTCCGGCCGTTATCCTTCATTCATTTCTGCACGCGTTTCTCCCTCTCTCTTTCCCTCTTGTCCTCTCTCTCGCTCAGTCAGTGGCCATGTCACAGTTGTCAAGACTGACGAGGCGTCTTATAAATTATTATAAAGAGAAGCAGGAAAATTTCACAAGTCTTAGGCCAGTATCTCGTCCTGTGCGCTGTTCTCTGCTTATTTTCCATTCACCCCCCCCCCTTCCCACACCGCGTCAACACCTTCACAGTGGAAGCAAACAACTACAACCACACACTTCACAGTGCGCTCACTCACCCCTTCATTGCCTAGGAACTGGATGGACGGCGAGACGCTGGACTTGGCCTGCAACAGAGCGACATGCAAATCAACCCTCCGCCCGCATAGCATACACACCGCCCTGCAACAATCGAGTGACAACACACCGAGGACCGAGGGGGTATGCACTCGCGTAATAGTCGGTTCACTCTATCTGTCATAGCTTGCGTAATAATACGCGTAATAGTCGCGTAATAGCCGAAATTGTCAAAATTATCAATTTTGTGTTTTTAGGCCGTTTTTAGCTAAATTCCGATTAATTTGTGGCGTAATAGAGCGTAATAGCGTAATAGTCGGTACACAGGTTCAGAGAGCGCATACCCCCTCGCCGAGGACGTGTCGTCATGTGGCATTCTGGCATTGTTATCAGGGCCGACCGTGCACTCCGTGATGCAAACACAGCTTGCGTCGGCGGCCACGGCCCGCGCGTCCGCTTACAAGAAGCCGAATCCGCTTCCATACAATTACATATGAAAACACGTCACGGGCAAATGAACGCACAGCACCCAGCCAAGCCACACAGGTGCGGAACACGAATCGTAAATTAAAAAGTATACAATGCAATCTTAAATCTAAGCATACAACAGAGCCAGATAAAAAGTAAAAACAAACAATGAAGGTTACCTCAGACTGCGCATCTCTAGATCGTTTTAGATTCTCTCATATCAATCCGCCTCCTCACCGCAGCCTGAGTGTTCCCATCCCACTCTAGGCGGGGTTAGAGGATGACGCTGTCCCTTCCACTCGCTTGCAAACACTCGAAACCTTGCCGACCGTTTATCTCGGCAAGGACTGCCGGACATTGGCCTACTCATTCCACAATATTGTGCTGGCCTGGCCTGGGCGAGGGCCTGGGCGAGCCGGTGGCGGGGGAGGGGGGAGGGGAGGGGGGAGGGGGGTCTTGGGCCTTGCTGTGGGCGCTGCAGATGCACTAGGATTTCGCCTCGGCAGCAGCGGAAGCAGGCGGCGAGGCCGGCGAGGCCGACGCAGCGCAAATCCAGCCAAATCAGCGCGCCCAACCGGGAGGGGGGCTGCCGAGTGGTTCAGAGGGGAGGTTTGTCGCTCGCTCTCGCCCTGACGGAAGCCCCGTCGAGCCCCGTGAGCGCGACGGAGACGGCCATCGGCAAGCGCAGCACTGCGCAGCGCTCGCCCTAATTGCTGGTTGCTGCAGGTGCCGCCGGCAGTGTACTGTACGCGCGGCGCATCGAACTCGCACCGAGGACCGCTCGGCTCACCTGCACGGCGGCACGGCGATAGCGCTACGCTGGGCGATACGGCAAGTGGCGGCCCTGGCGGTCACCGCGGTCCATCAGGGCGATAGGCCCGTCCGCCGGGCCGCGGACGGGGACGACGCGACGACGCGACCGCCGCGCCGCCGCCACGTGCGCCCGCCGCGCGTGCGGCGCCACCCCCGCGCACTGCAGCACGTGCAGCGCGGACCCTGCGGGGTGGGCCGGCCGGATGCGTCACGGTGACGCAAAGCGAGGAAGTGCGCCACGCCGCCCCGCCCCGCCTCGCCGCGGCCCCTACGCGCTCCAATCGGCCTGCGGCTGACGCTGCGCGGCGCTGTCACACAAGTCGGTCAACATGGGGGTCCGCGGCCCCGCCCGGCCCCGCCCGGCCCCGCCCCATTTCGAGTCCTGCGCGCTGCCGACGCGCTGCCGACGCGCTGCCGACGCGCTGCCCATCCAAGACTCCATGAAGCGAGCCAATCACGCGCGGCGACGCGATGCGGCCATTCGGTTCCCTTTACGACTCATCCCGCGAGCCGCGACGCGCCGCCAGTGCCGCGCTGCAGCCCGAGGCCAGTCCTACGGCCAGCCCTACGGCCAGCCCTACGGCCAGCCCTACGGCCAGTCCTACGGCCAGCCCTACGGCCAGCCCTACGGCCAGTCCTACGGCCAGCCCTACGGCCAGCCCTACGGCCAGCCCTACGGCCAGCCCTACGGCCAGTCCTACGGCCAGCCCTACGGCCAGCCCTACGGCCAGCCCTACGGCCAGTCCTACGGCCAGCCCTACGGCCAGCCCTACGGCCAGTCCTACGGCCAGCCCTACGGCCCGGCCGGCTTCCTGGTGACCCAACCGGGAACGCCCCAGGCAACCCAATGCCCTAGTTCGGCCGGCCGCCAGGTCCCCCCTGCCCGGCCGGCCGCCGACAAGGTCGCCCTGAGGGAGGCCGACGAGGGTCACGACCAGGTCCGCGTCCGCACGGTGCGCACCCCCTGGCAACGGCCGCAGGGCCGCACAAAGCGGTCGCCCCTCGCTTCACACGTCCCCAGACGCAGCACGGCGCGCAGCACGGCGCGCAGCACGGCCGGGTCTGCAGCCAAACCCGCGGCAAGCGCGACAAGCGGCAACGGTCCCACCCATCCTGAGGGGCTACACTGCCAACGAGTCAGCGCGCCCGCGCTCGGCGCAGTGCCTCACGGCTTAGCTTATTTGCGAGGGAAATCCGCCTGCATCGGCGTGGGCCCCGGTGGGCCCGGTTAGTGCGCACGAGGGAAAACTAAGACACAGGCGGGCCGAGAACCCGGGCCAGCGGCGGCCAGCCAGCCAGCCACACACAGACTCGCGCCGATCACGCCATCGGACACCAAGCAGATGGCCATCCTGGCAAGCCGCGGGAGAAAGCAAGCAAAGAATACGGTTCTGCAACAAGGACACTGCGACGCCAAATCAAATGACGGTGCACAAAGTCACGTAACGCCGCGAAAGGGCCGCGGAAGGCCCGCGGCGGGGCGAGGGGGCCCACTGGGCAGCGGGGCATTCCAGCCAATCAGCTTTACGGACGCCGTGTTTACAAGCAAGCCCCCTATAAACGCCGCGGTGGGCACGGCGGCCGCGGCGGCCGGCACCCCTTCCCTGCCTCTCCGAGAATGTAGGTGCGCAGCGCACAGAGGGGGGCGAGGAGCCAGCCAGCGCGCTGCGGCGGTGGCGGCGGGGCGGCGGTGTGGGCCAACGGGACTGGCTGCAACCCGCTAACACCATCACCTTCGCTTTCCGCGTACGTACCGCGCACCGCGCCCGGACAATCAAACCCAAAGGAGCCTGCGCGGGCCGCAGGGGCCTGGCCGACCTGGCCAATATGGGGGGCTAACGCGGCTAACGGCAACAAGCAGACCACATCTCAACAAATTACGCCGCGCAGACAAGCGCGCTCGGGCAACACACACACACACACACACACTCTTGCGCGCCTGGGGACGACCTGTGCCAACAAGATCCCTTACTGGCCGCCCGCACACCCACAAAAGACGGCTTAGCACCTGCCCCCCCCTCTCCTCCCAGGGGCGTCTTTTCTTACGCTTTGGGCGAATAGAGGCCCCTTGTCGCGTGGGGCCCGTGGGGCCCGTGGGGCCGGTGGGCCAGGCCGTGCCCTGGCCGCCGTAGGCCGCCGTGCCGATGCGACGCGTTTTAGCGGATAGCAACCGACATGGCAACACCGCGAGCGGGGCCCCGCCGCCACGCCCCGCCACGCCCCGCCCCGCCACGCCACGCCCCGCGCTCCGGGCCGCCATTCATCCCATCAGTTAGGCCCTTACACCCCAACAGGTGGCAGCTTATCGGGTCCATCCGGCAGCCAAGTCTTTTCCAGGCGGCGATTACCCGCACGGAAAGCACGCGGCGCCCTCTAGCCGCGGCCAGCGCGGCCGGCCCGCCCAGGCCCGCCCAGCGATAAGCGAGCCGACGAGCCGCTCCCCCAAACACGCACAAAACTTCCCCCGCGCGCACCGCGCCACCGCGCCCCGCCGGCGAGCGGAGCAGCGGCGGCAGCGACAGCGTGCCCGAAAACCCGGCCGAGGTCGCCGTCTCGAGCCGCTAGCTGCAATCGCCGCCTAGACCGCCATCGCCCAGAGTCGCGTCTCGTTTCGTTTCGCAAACATGGATGCACAGTCGGCCGTTCAACTGAGGCGCCGCACAGCCGCGCGCCGCGCCGCCCTCCTCGGCCAGCTCAATGAATGGGCGGCCGAGGCGCTGTTTGGGCACCAGGTTGGCACAGCGCAGCCACAGCCAGCGCAGCCCGACCTTGCCTGCGGTGCCTGCAGCCTTATCTAGCCGTGACAGCAGCGCCGGCCCAGAGGCCACCGCGGTGCACTGGCTCACTGACCCAAGACGGCTTGCTGTTGTCAGCTGTTTTTCTCCGAGGCAATCTACCTCTTTTTCTGGCCGCGGCAACAACGGGTCACCTTCGCCTAAGACTCCAGCGGCAAGCCTATCGTCACAGCTGGCCACATTCCGGGGAAGTTCCCGGGTGGCTGCGTCGCCCCGCGTCGCGCGCTAGCTACGCCACTGCGCCACCCGACCGTGCGACAAGCCTTCACTTCCGCGTGGATCCGCGGCTCTTTGGGCTCCGCTGGGTTACGCTAGCACGGCTAGCACCGAACCGAGCACGGGCCTTCGGCTCCTTCGGCTCCGGCCAAGCCTCGCTTCTTATCGGCCGGGACGACCGCGGCGTAGCTAACATCGCTAGCGCAGCTACGCCAGTGCGTGTCCTAGCTGCTACGCCGTGCTACGCCGTGCTACGCCGCGCAACGCCGTGCTACGCCGCGCACGCGCAACGCCCAGCTACGCCCAGCTACGCCCAGCTACGCCCAGCTACGCCCAGCTACGCCCAGCTACCCCAGGCAATCTACCCTTTCGCCGGGCACACGGTACGCCCAGCTACGCCCAGCGGCAAGCTACGTCCAGTGGCCACTTCCGGCAGCTACCCCAGCTCGCGCGCCGTGCCCGGGGCCGTGTCGGGGCCGCGCAGTACGCCACCGCCCAGGCGCCCCAGTTCATCCGGTGGATCCGCGGTTGGGCCCCGGGCCTGGGCCTCGGCAGGCGCACCGCCGGCTAGGGCCGCGTAGCGAACGCTCGACGCCTTCAGGAGGCCCGTCGACGGCCGGGCCGGCCGGCGGGGTCCAAGATCGCTATCCATTACCAGGGCCCTTTGTCGAGCAGTTTTGCTACGCGTCTCGCCGGATGCGAGCCGCGAGGTGATCCCGCCTCGAGCGAAACGCCCGCAGCCGGCAGGGCCGGCAGCACGCCCACAATGGCGCCCCGCCCCGCCCGGCCCCCACCCACGCGACGCGGCCCCTTTAAATTAACATTTTGATTGTCCAGGCCGTCGCTACGCCCGGGCCGCCCAGCCGGTCCAGCTACCCGCTGCCAGGCCGCCTGCAACTATTCGGGCCGCGGGTAGTAGGCACCCCAGGTCGTCCCGTAGTTCATCCTGCTACACTGTCATTGCAGGGCGGTTCGGGAAGGCCACGTGGCCGCTGCCTTAGCTTGTAGCGCCGAGGCGCCCTCGGGATGAGCCGCCTAAGGGCCCATCCGGGGGCCTAAGGGAGTCGAGACCATTACCAGGCCGTTGGCCCGGCCCTCTTGTTCCTCCCGAATGCAGACAAGGTGATGTGTCCAACCCCTCGAGATACATTGCAGCGAAGGGCAGGGCAGCACAGTCCGCACGCACAAGGGCGCACCCCAACCCCGCCGGCAACAGCGGCGGCCCAAAGTTAACTCGATATTGCCGGCCTCGGGGCCCTGGCCCCCCTTTTAGGCGCCCATGGCGATCCCCCAAAGGCGCTGCAAACCTAATGCAGGCTTTAAACAAACGCCAACCGGAACGTCCGCTGAATGACAGTGTAGGACACGGCGCACGCCTCGGCGCACGCCTCGGCGCACGCCGGCGGAGAATTCGGCGAAACGGGTCGCTCATCGCCGCGCCCCGCCACCCGGCGGAAAATTTTCGCCAAATTCCCAACGGCAAAGAGACATTGGCAAGACCCCGCGGCCCTGGCAAAACAAACCCTTGCTTCTGACGGTACTTCGGGCGCAAAGGTCTCCGAAAAGAGGGGGGAGGGGAGGGAGGGGGCCAAGATAAAACTATCCCCGTCTACGCCGCTGAATCCGCAACGTAGTGCTACACCTAGTGCCCCCTGCTAGTACTAGGCAACGTGCCAGGCGGCACGGCAGGCGCGGCACGGCAGGCGCGGCACGCCTGCCAAAACTTTTACCTCGTCTTAGCCTGCCAGGCCAGCGAGATGTCTTGGTTCGCATTTCACCTTTTAGCGTCATCCGCCACCCTGGCAGACATCGTTTCCGCGTTTCGTTTCGGCTACGGGGCCGGGCCCGGGGCCGGGCCCAGGGCCGGGCCCAGGGCGCACCCTGCCCCGATAACGAGGGTGGCCGTGGCCCCGCCCCGCCTCGCCCCGCCCCCCGCAACGACTCTTGTAAGCCCCACGGCCCCGAGGGTTCTCGTCCCGACCGACCCTGGGACACATCTGTTGAGGACCACTCCTCTACGATTGGGGCGCGACTTGTGACTAAAAGTGCACAGCAAGGCTGAGGCAGACCTACGAACGCTTTGGTACCTCTAATCTGTCTGTTCCCCAACATTCTGATACGGCGGCACTAACTCTGTTCGAGCGCTTTCGTAAAGAGCTAATGACAAAGAAATAGGTCCAGGTTGTCAACATAGAACAACACAGGGAAATATTTTATGTCATATTGCAGGGACTGTGCGTTTGAGTCTTGCCAACAGACTTCTATGTCCTTGAAAATAAAGCCAAATTATCAACCATGAAATCCATGGAGATATTTTAAGAAAATGGGCCATTAAATAAACGTTATTAGGGAACCAATTTTAAAACTAGCAGCGAGCTTTCTGTTAAATTGAATTAAAGTCAACACACCCAGACTGAGAGCAAGGCTGGCATGAGAAGGGGAGAGATCTAAAGCCAGTCAGAGAGCACAGAGCAAAGAAAACTTACTACCTGAGAGCAACTTCTTCATACATGCATACATCTTGGTGTAAAGATTCCTGTTGATCTGTTTCGATGAGTTATCCATTTTAGTCTTGAAGATAATCCTGACAAGGTATCCAGAACGTTAAATTCACTTTTTCTTCTTTTTTCACATTTTCACTTAACACTATTTCACTTTAAACCAGTATTATTTAATCTTTTAATACTGTTTATCACTATCACTTTTTCACTTTGGCACATTCTTCACTTAGCACATTCACTTCACATTCGAGAGGAGATGATGAAGCGGTATCCAAGGTTAAAGCTCCAGGATGAATTATCCATAGAACCCAGGTTAAGTGTTGGTGATGAAACACATTGGTAGAACAAAAACAACTGTGTTGCAACGCATGAAGATCTTGACACCATTACTTATGTCCACAACAAGCAAAACTCAATAAAAATGTTGTACTGCTTCACAAAGGTGATGGCACAACCACTCTTTGGCCCACTTGTTTGTTTCTCGTTGAAACAAACAACTCAAATCAAACTTAGGTCCTGAACAGCCATGTTATGAATAGTACGAAGTACACAGTTAAAAAGGGAAGGAAATTTAAGAGATAGTACATTTTTTTAGTTGGCTTCCGAGTAGTACATTATCAGTCCAGATCACATCCAATCTAACATACGAACTCAATATTAAAATTAAGTATTGAAGGAAACTACTGTATAATTAAAGGTGAGCGCAGTACATATGATATTAAAGGTGTTACCACCCAGTTACAAGAAACATATAGTTAACCTAGTTATGACATGACAGCGTCATGACGCTTACAAAATCCTCAACATGATTTACTTGACACCCAAAGAGAGAAACATTGAAATATGTACAACACAAAGCATTATTATGAAATGGTCACATGAGGAAAGATACAAAATAGATAGATACACAGTTGACTTTGAGTTAAAGATTAAGGTAGCCAGGTCACATTGAGTATACAATTTGGGAGAAGGAGAACTTTTTCAAAAATGTCAATACCCCTATACACATTAGAGAGGAGGTAACATGAATATGCAGTAATATTACAGGAACAGTTAAAATGTTTTGATAAAATACAGTGACAGATTGAATCTTTTGACTTACAAAGATATAATAAAACATGACAATGCTATGTGAATGAAAAACTACAGAACTGATTCAAGATGCGACACAAAAGAAACAATCGACAGAATTATAATCAAATTTGCCCTCCAGATGTAACGACGGTCGAAATGTAACGGCAAAATGCGAGACTTCGAAAAAATCAACCTCAAATTCTGTAAAGGGTCGGGACAGGATGGCACAACTTGACGTTTCACTTCGTGCAAGACGTATTTATCGAGGGGAAAAATATCTAGCTTGAAGGCTGATATAGCTTACATTTTATCTTTGATAAATCAAATTAAATTAACTGAATTTTAATGAGGATCAATCACGCGAACGTAATTTCTGATCGGCCTGTTGACGTGGCGAGCTATATTATTTGCAATATCTCCTAGAATTTCATCGTTATTGTACTTTTTCATTCATCGACATACTGAATCCAGATTAGCTTACAATAGAAAATAAGTTAAAACACGTTTTTACTGACTAGAATGACTTGATAAATGTAAAATATGGCGACATTAAAATAAACGTTGGAGCACTACTCCGCAACAATGATTGTTTACGGGCACAAAATCCACTCCTCTGAAGTACTTACCGCATTTTTAAGATGCTCTTCTATTGCTTTAAATGCTGAGTCTGTGAGTTTAACAAAAATTAAAGATTTATCCTGATAACTAGGTTCTTGAGATGACAACCCATACTTTACACCTGCCACCAGCGCAGCCATTTCGGTCTAACTTGACGCTTGGACTCGGAGAACAGCTGACGTCTGGGATATTATCAGATCAGCAACTAACAAATCCTCCTGCGACGTTATAAAGCGTGTCCTTTTAGAACCATTTTAAAGTCTTATTAATTTTTGTACGCTGTTCCAACGCAACTGAATGCTCTCAGATAAATAAAAGTAATGCATTCGAAAAGATTAGAATAAGGCCTTCTTCTGACTACTACTTCGTTTCGGCGGGATCTTTCAAATGCACTTCGGTGACCTTCACGGCACACAACAATCAAAGCTTGTTGAAACTTTAAACAACTCCCCATGATGCTAGAAATGACGAATGATTTTCAGGTGTATGTAAAATTGATTTGGCACTTGAAAACACGATTACGGAACTGAAATGGAGTGACCCCCTTAAGAGTGACTAGAAGAAGAAGGAGAGGAAGAAGTCCTTTCGCACAGAACGTGTCATAGAAAAGGCGCAAACGGAAATGACACAGAAATATTTACAATGGAAGGCCCCAAGGCAGAAACGGTATTGTTAACAATAAAATTTATTACTTTATTTATCTGCATTGCGTTGTGTTGTAAAAATTATTCAGTCTGGAGTAAATAGAGCGCTTAGTGTCTTGTTTTTTTCGGTCTTATGTGGCTGCCAATTCTTTTAAGTTGAGTTTTTCTGCAAAACAAGACCGGCTGCTTGAACCCTTTATGAAAACTTGAGCATCAATGGAGCGTTTATTCCGTTCCGTATTAGTACCCAGTCGAAAAATGTTGAGCATGGAAGAAAGACGCTTACTGGTGTCACTTTCTCGTCCTCAACGTATTGTTCTTGAGATATTTCTATAATTTGGGAGGGATGACCTAACCTCATATATCTTGCCAGGAAGCATTATTTATTTTTAGAGAATCTCAGAAACACATAAATTTGTTCTTTACAGGTGATAAAACTTAAGGAGAAGGGCAATGCATGTGTACGAGAGGAAAAATATGAAGAGGCTATATTTCACTACTCACATGCTTTAAAATTGGACCCTCTTAATTATTCCATTTATAGTAATCGTTCTCTTGCATTTTTAAAAATGCAACAGTATTATTTGTCAATGGCTGATGCACTGCAGACAATAAAAATTGCCCCAGAATGGGCTAAGGTAAGAGCGAAGCCACATTAATTTGACATCATGTTGATCCAACACTAGTACAATTCTAAACAAATATTGTATTCTCAGGGATATTTTCGGAAAGGTGAAGTGGAATTTGCTACATTTCATTTCTCTGAAGCATTATCCTCTTATGGTAAGGCATTGGCGAGACAAAGAGATGACCCTAACATCCGTCATGCCTTAACCAAAACCACCCAGGGATGGTTGACAGATCGCAGAGGTGATTATTTATTTATTACTTTTCCACTTTCACCCGCATTTAACTTTGTTTTCTAATTTTAAAGTTCAATTATATTTTGCCTAAGTGTTCATGCAATTGTTACTTTTCCTTAGCTGATGAACAAATCCCATGGCTTGGTGCTGGAGTTGGAATTATCATTGGTGTGGTAATAGTTATTTCTGACCAGACTATTGCTCCTAAACCTACATTAACAGTAAGTACCTGATGTTATTATAAAATTTGCAAACAATTTCATCTAATTCATTTTCCCTTAATTTGCAGCATCCTATTATCATGGCTCTTCTCACAATATCAATAGCACTTATCGGTTACGCTATTTCTAAGGGCATACGGTACTATGTAAAGTGCCAAAGAAAGTCTCTATTAGAACCCCCTCTTGATCTGCTACCAGGTTAGTGTGACTCATATCTGTGCTTCCAAATTGAATGTTTGCCCTTTCACCATGTGCCATGTTCTAATGTGTATGTGATTTCTTCTCATCTTAGAAGAGTCCAAACCGGCCCAGTCAGAGGATGGTGATGATGAGGAGGAGGGAGCTGGCCATCACAAGTCACCACGTTTCACAAAGGCTCAAGCAAGGCAACGATTTAAAAAGGGTAAAAGTTAAATTAGAAAATTGAATTGTTAACGGAGTTCTGAAGGAAAAAGAGGTGTGTGATAAGGAAGTAAAGTAATCAATTACCCCAGACTGTGGTGTAGTTCGGCAGAAGACCTGCTTATGTCACTTCAGTCACTTTGATATATTTTCCAGGGTCCCCACGGTAGCTCTGTTCCATTTTTCATATGATCTTATTATAAATATAATGTGCAAGACTATTGCCTCAATGTACTTATGTAATTGTTTGTGTTTTGAGCTCCTTCACATGATTATCATGCCAAGAAGATGAACAGGGTGTTTAACAAACTTTATTGTGTTGAATGAGGCTTGTGAAACAGCCTGTTTAATTTCCTTGGACTAATGTTTTCAGCTGTGCATAAATCTTATGCTTGAGTACCAATCATACTTATGTTTGACACTTAGATTAAAACTTTTCTTCAATTTTTCTTGTTAAGTGCTTTTGTAAGGTTTTGCTTTTTGTAAATTTTTCAATTATATACTTAGCCTAGTAATTTTCCTTGAGTCTCTCAATGAATCATATCTCTCCCTCCTACTCATCCTTTAGAAATGTGACTTATATTCTGCTATAGTATTGTTTCCTTGTGTTTGTAATTTCTGTTTTTTTTTTGTTTTGTTTTGGTTGACTCTAAACTCTTGTTTTTGTGTGTGATTAGAGTAGGGGATTAAATGTGATAGACCATATGTTTCAGTTGAGAATGCTACATGGTCTCTTTGTCTACATCTGTATCTAAACACAATAATTGCTGCAGAAAAGTATAGCTGTACAGCTTCTCTCTGAAAGTTGTTTTTATGTGGTGGAGGATTAGGTTTCAACAGAAAGAAGAATCTTCATCTGGATAGATAGCATAGAAAGTTAAGAGAGTGTGTTAAAACAAGTAACTGTGATTTTATAAAAACAAAAAATTAACGGTAGTAGTTTTTTAAACTTTGTAATACTGTATCCAACCCATTGCCTTATTATCAACTTTCCTTGCCTCCTTAACCTTCTTTTTCTTCCTGTGCCAGTTAATATATTATTGTGTTGAATTTTCTATTCTGTTCCCTTTACTTATTCTTTTGTTTTTCTGGTACCTGGTTATAAGAAGTGACCTGTCTCTACAGGGTGGCCTTCATATATTTTGCACTATCCTGTACCATATTATTTTTTTTGGTGCCTACATGGCTGCATGATTATTGTACTGAGCCACCCTGTGATATCTGCCTCAGATTGTTTTTGAATGATAGGAGCTACACTGAAACAGTCAAGCTACCTTGAGACCCTTCAAATATAAGACATGATGGCATTTTTTATGCCGGAGTTGTTCCTTTGCAACTTTTTTCACATTACTGCCCTTTACTCTTTTACAAAGTATGCATAAGTTTCTAAACTGCAAAGTACTTAAGAGGCAATAGCATAAGTTGAATTGTACTCCTTTGTGTCATTACCATCAAAGCCGTCCAATTTTTAAAAACACAATGTTTTTGATTTTTTTTTTCGTTGATTTTTTTAAAAATATTGGATAGTTTACAGAGTTTCATAGTTGGATAATAGTTGGACTTGACTCATACCACCATTCAAGGTGTTCAAAAATATTTTTCTAATGTCAAAAAAATCAGAAGAGGGATCAAACATGTCTTTATGAGCTGTTAAAGTATCTGGATCAAGCAATATTTTTTGTGAAGGGTTTTATGTACTCCATAGTTGTATATTTACGAAGTTCAATGATTCTTCTGAAGTAGAGCTCTGTGAAGGTTGCTGTGTGGAGGCTCAATTTCTGCTGTAAGTTGTTGTTAGCTCTGAAATTTGTGCTTTTTAGAAGGATGCTAAGTTTAGATCAATTATATCAACGTTGAAACTACAACAAATGTTTTCATTTTACCTCATTCCTAAAGATATTGACTTGACTTGCCAGGCTCGAGCAGTGAGCTGCAGATTTTCTATTTGAGGACCAGCTGCCCATCCACCTCACCAAGTAGTAGTGTGAGACTCATGCTTGACAGAGCCGCTGTTGAAAGTCATTCTTGAAGCAAGAACCTTCATATGAGCTATGTGCTTGTGGGACGGTAGCAATAAGTAAGGCAATCTTATCCTGGTATTCATTATTTTATTCATTTTTTTTATAAAAAAAAAATTAATTTAGAGATCAATAGCCAGGACACCACAGCTTGTCATTTAGTTAATAATGACAACCACAACACTGAATGGGCTTCTGTATGTCATAAGCCACAAGTCGACACTCAATTTTTTTACAGACACATGGAACTAAGTTAAAAATATCTCTCACTAGAGTGATGGCAGCAATGCCTTCAACACTACCCAACACAATAAATTACATAATCCATCTCATTGTGCACACTTGCTGCATGTTTTCATAACACAAAATATTCTATAGACCATAGACTACACCACTTCACATACAGACAGATTAAGAAACCTAGGAATATATACAACATATGTACAAATTACAAGCTAGAATGTTTTGGCAGGAAACACATGTTTTTGTTTTCTACCTGAGCTGGAACGTTTTCCAGTGCACCACATGCTCTAATGTGACAATGCAGGTAAGCTAATTTTCTATACAGCAGCATATAAATACAAAAACATGAAACTAAGTAATTAATACAGTCATGAGCACATAACATTTTGACAAAGTACCGAGTCTTCTTGAAGAAATGTTAATAAAATAAACCACCATCGAACCTACTTTTTTTTTCCTGTAAATGACACAGAATTGGTTCTGCAGCTACATATCTAGGGTCTGAAAGTAATTACAAAAAGCTGCTTATCACCAAAACCCATAATGAAGAACGCCTAATTCAATGAAATCACAATTTTTCAACCGACATATTTCCAAGTTCGTAAAGAACTGCAAATTTCAGCCATAGTTTATGAATACACTAGGTCTACACAAATAGCAAAGACTCTTCAAATGAAATAAATCTAGTATGAACACTGACAAAGCATACATTGCACATTGGATAGGGGAGGAAGTGTGTACTTTATTTCTCTAACACTCACATAATAATGTAATTTACTAAGAAAGTGGTTTTGACATACACATATGTCCTTGACTTTCACTCATTCAATTCATTGGAATGGAAAGGTTCATTACAAAATTGCTATGACAAACCTCCTACATTCATCACAAGCTATCAATAGTGTGACAAAAGTTATTTCTAAAGAACAATTGTTACAAATACAGTACAGTAATTACAAATGTGGAATGAGGTAGTTACAATTGTAGCAGACAAAATAGAAAAAGGATAACATTGAACACATTCCAAGAACTGAAATTGGAAGCCTATACCATTATATTGGTTTATAGGGCCTGTGTAGAAGACAACCAATGTCACTAAACAGAACACAGCATTTTACTACTACTGTAGATGAATAAGTCAGTACATAAAACAAAGGTTGTTGTAGTCACATTTGAACACAGCATCAAAGTACGGCAGGGTAATTCGGTCCAGTAGGAATGACTATTGTGCCCCTTTATCTATTTGATCCTGTGAGGGAGCCAAAAGTGTCCATGTGTGTCTAGTTCCTAGTTCTAGCACCCCATTTCGTTAATGAAATAATAACAGTCTCACAATTACAATTTGATCGGCTACTAGAGGAATTCTGCCTTGATGGTTGGAGGGCATTACTTGTCAAAAAAAAAAAAAAATGCAGAATGCATCAGATTCTGTTCATTCCTTTGCTGTCTGTTTCAAAACTATTACCACAAATCTTAAGTAAGTTCTTAAATTTATGTTTGAAATGCACCAGATTAGTACACTTACAACTTTAACTGGGGTTATGAGCAACAAAACAGTTGTGTTACAGGCCTCAAAACAGCCCAAACCAATTGTAAAACGTTTGGCAGGATAAAGACACATACTGTACTATGTTATAAATACCACACTTGAAATATTAGAATACAAAGCTTCAGGTTAAAATGGTATTTAAACACATTCACATTAAAAGTTCTGCAGATATACTACATATTATTTAAGACAGTAATCCATTCTACAAAAGGCAATGACCATATTTGTCATGCATAATGGCAGTGACATCAACATATTGGTTCATTTCAAGGCCAGGTAAAAAGATAAACAACTACTAGGAATTCTTAACAAAGAATCAAAACCCATTACATGCAAAAGAATTTCTAAAATTTTTGGTGAAAATTTCAAGAACAGTCCAGTAAATTGAAGTTATTTGAATATTTCCTAAAACCCTAGATAAGACCTTCAAAAGACGCTAAGAGTATAAAGTAAATCAAAACCACACACACTTTTGGAGGTTTGAATACTTTTGACAGATAAGGAATAAAACATTCAATGAATTTGTTCACTCATAGCTAGACAAAAACCAAGACAGATTGAGTAAAACTGACAGTTTTGTTTAAAACATTGACAAAGATTTAAAATTGGAGAATGACTATAATTAGTAAGAACAATAACTTTAAAAAAGTAATTTAACTTTAAAAAAGTAATTTAGCCAATGGGTGTTTTGTAAATATGAATAAATGACTTTAAACTGACAAGGGAGCTGCAAAATAGGTACTGCATCCCTATTTTCCAAGTATCCAAACAATAGAAATGAACTGTAAAAGGAAAGGTACTTCCAATGAATTGGACTAATTCCTTCTCTCAAAATTTAGCTAACTTGAACCCTCACTGAATCTTTCTAGAAGGTTTACTGACACAAACACACTTATATGTACAAATCATTTTCACAAATAAACATTCACTCAACTCATACACTTATGACTTGATGTGTTACTTTATAGTACATGAGATCCATAACAAAATACCCTAGAGCTTAAAGTTCATATAAGAAAAAGAAACCACATGCTCTAGAATTTAGAATAATATTAGATATTTGATGAAATTAGTTGCAAACAAGAGCCAGAATGGTATGTCATTGACACAATAAAGATACTACCAACTACAAGACACACTGCATGTCTTCTTTCATAGACGCACCCTCTCTTTTCCTTCAATACATAAAGTGCCAACTTTGATACCTCAAACCACACCAATATACACAAATCTAATAGGTCATGTGAATATGCGTGAGTAATAAATAATAAACCAAGCAGCATAACAACTCTGGGAGGAGAAGTTACTTATTCTTCTGTTAAAATTCTTTTTCACAAGATGAAAGAATGCCAACTGCGGTTGCCGAGTTGCAACAGAAATAGATGCATGTCAAAAACTGACTGCCTCAGCAGCTGCGTCTGGCAATCTGTTGGCCTGGCAAAGACAACATACCTTATGTTTAAAGTCTAAAATGGGGGAGGGAAAAAAGCTCACAATATACATTTGGTCCATTTTTTGAAGCAGAATTGAGCTCTTTCCCAGGAGAGTAAAGGCCTACAAGTTATATAGGCAGGCATCTATATATGTCCACACCAAATACCAAAAATGTATTTTTTTTCCAGATTTTGAAATATTTTGTAAGAGGCAGTAGTGATGAGCACATAAACTGATTTTCCATAATAGTACAGTATATCACTAATTTCAATACAACCTCAAATCAGGTTAAAAGAAAACAAACCTATGATGTATATGGGTTGGCACTTAAGCATGTTTCAAAGACGAAACATAACAAGATCGAACCGAAATACGTGTAGCTACTTTTTTCATTTATGAACATTACAAGAGAGGCAATTTCAAATATTAACAAAACTCAATGGGAACTATTACAAAGTTGCAGAGAGATTGTTGGTATAGTGTTTGAAACATCCTTAAGCGCCAGCTCATCCACACAAATGAATTAAGTCATTATTCTGGCCCCTTCGTCACAATAGCAAAAATTCTTTATCTCCAAAACCGTTTTAGAATATTTAAAAGCATTAAACGCCTCATGCATGTATGGTTCCTCTCTCGATAAAATGATATAATCACAATATGTTGGTAAAGTGTAGTTACATTTCTATTTACAATAAAAAGAGGAACTGAATCAAACCAAACTGTAAAACAAAGCAACAATAACTTGTTTAAATAAAAACCATTTAAAAGTAGTATTTTATGTTAAAATTTTAAGACCCATTCAAGAACAATTTAAATGTTTCAGCAAAACAATGAAAACAGACAACCCAACAAATAAAATACAATATACTATTGAACTGTCCAAGGCAATGATAGCTTCAAACCACGCATTTTTATTTTTATTTTCTGTTTTCAGCATCAATTATTTGACTCAACACTCACACCTGGGTGAATATGAAAACAACCTCACAATTTCGCACACTGGATACATCTTATCCAAGACCATTATTTCCAAGACTCATTTCCTCTATGCATTCAACGAGGAATGCAACTTTAACAATATTATACACATCTCAGTGCCGTCTCAAAGTAAAACACACTAGGGAATTTCAACCCTAAAATTGTGGTCAATACCTGTGAGACAAGGATGATAACTACATTCAACTATGTACAGAATTGGCAATGTCGCTAGCTCATTCTGACAGCTCAGAAAGATCAAATAAAAACTAAAAACGTAAAAAAAAATCCTAAAAAATCAAATTACAGTTAATAATTGAAAGACAAGTTACGCGCTAAAATTAAGGCTAGCTGACACTGCACACAACAGTCAGTTCGGTTCAGTTCAGTGTGTGCTGCACGTTTTAGCGCCAGCCGGCCGTGCTGGCCGTCCCTCGCACCAGGACCCTCCCCAGCGCGGCCCGCCTGAGGCGAGGCGAGGCGAGGCGCCCGAGGCGAGGCGGCCCTCGGGCCCTTGGGGACGTCCTCGCGCCTCGCGCCTCGCGCCTCGCGCCTCGCGCCTCGCGGGTGAGGCGGGGTGCGAGCTCAAGCTGTGGCGTGGCGCGGAGCACGCCGAGGGGCACGCCGAGGGGCACGCCGAGGGGCTCGCGGGGAGGGCCGGCGAAAGGGCCAAGGGGGCTACGGCCAGGCTATGGCCACAGGCTAAGCCCACGGGGGCGTTCCGGAAGCGACGTGGTGCGGCCTGCATCGCCCAGCCCGGCGAGGAGCGAGGAGCGAGGAGGCAGGCCGGCCGTGGTAGGGCGAGCTGGGACCAGGCAGGCCCTACACTTGGCGCACACGCAGGCCACCGGGGGCCCTTTGTCATTCCCACTGCTGGGGAGAGGGCGGCAGCTCGGCAGGGTGCGCGACAGATGAACTGCAAACCAAACAGAAGGGGAGACCGAATGTTACAACTATGGCCAAAATACAGCTACAATAAAATAAAACCAAATAAGATAAGGATTTCAAACAGGGGCCAGTGAGGAATTAGAGGATAGGATTAGACAAAGGCCACTGTACTACAAAAGGCAGGCAGAGAAAAGAAAAAAAAAGACCTAATGGCAATGGAGATAAAGATGCCATGGGGGAAAAAAATCTTACAGGAGTTATTGAAGCAAGCAGAGGAGCGTTTCCAGCAGGGATCACACTGATCTCATGGCAAAATGTTAAGTCAAGGAAAAGCAGGGTCAATTAACTGCAGCAAATTTATAGCAACAGGGATGATTGTTATCACAATGCCAGCAAATCCAAGCAACGCGGAAGGCCAGAAATGGTTTCTACAGAAAAGTTACTTAGCGCAAAGTTCAATGAAAGATCAAATTCTACTGTTGTCGAGCAAAATATTTCTTATTATCAAATACTAGGTTCTTGTACCATGCAAATTAATCATTCATGCACATGCAAATTATCATGAAATTATCATGAAATTATCATTATCATGAAAGCTCATTCAGTAAAAATGGCAACACACTCAAGCCAAAATCCTAGCTAAAATCAACCCCAATGCAGTCACAAAAAAAACAAAAAAAAAAACATTTTTCTATCATTATTTAACCCAGGGAGTGACAGACCATTTCATCCTTCCGCTTGGCTACCACCGCTCCGCACACTACCGTAAGGGGCAAAAACTCAAGCAATTGATGGGATGCTCATATTTGACCATGCTCATTGTTCAAAGTCTTTTGCAGAAATTTTAAAATTTTGGTTATTTTGTAATAGCTATGTAGTTTATGCCTTAGTGATAATTTCCAAATTTGAAGCCTGAAGTGTCCAAGAAGCCTGTGATGCTGCCCTGCCTGATGCACCATTAAGATTTTCAATATTCAATCAAAGCATGAGAGTAAGTGCGCATGAACAACAATGTATGAGTTGTTTATGGCTTTCCTTTTTCAAGTGCAGTGGAAGAATATGGCCCCCTTTTATTTACATTATTCACAAACATTCAAACATTGACATGCTTCCATAAATTCCAAGACATTCAAAGCACAATGCAGATGAACTCCCATTCTTCCTTTAAGTGCCATTTTTTCCCCCTATAAATTAAAAAAGTTAAAAGAAAATTGACATTTTATCTGATAAAGTGATCAATTATATATATGTATAAAAAAAAGAGACGCAAGAAAAAAATTCATGATGGACTGGAAGTTTTTGGAGTATGTTAAAAAAGAAATTAAAAATTCACTGGAAAAATAAAATTGAGACCAATGCCCCACAACTAAGAGAGATTGAATTAATTCTGTACAAAAAGCCATCCTGAAAGAAATTTGTATGAGAAAATTTCTAAAAAGAGGAAACAGAGCTATTAATACAGGACACTGAAAGCAATTTGGCTAACAGGCAGGAGCCACAAGACCACTAATGATGAAAAGGAAACACAAAGTCAACAGATGCAGCTGCAATCTGTTCATTTGCATGAGGGAGGAAGAGAGAGTTCGGCTGTGGCCATTCATCACAAGCCAATAGTGGTGGTAACATCGAAAGCGACAAGAGTATGTAAACATATGTATAAACACATATATAGGAGGTAGTAGTAGAAGTAGTGGGAGTAGTAGTAGTAGTAATAGTAATAGAAGTAGAAACAGAAAGATTATAGATCAATACGAAATATAAACTGTACCCAAATTTGCTGAAGACGAAATCTCCACTTGTGAGTATTGAACGACAAAGAAGGTAGTAAGGGATGGTCGTGGACGTTGCGGCTTGCGGTTACGTGGCGGTGGTAGTGTGGCTCTGGGCACGGCGCACGGCGGCGTGGATGAGTGGCCATCACGGCCCTGGGCTCTAGGGCCTGGGCTGGCTTGGGCTCTGGGCTTGGCTGCAGGCTGGATCACCCCGCGCGGCCCAGCCAAGGCCCAGCCAAGGCCCAAGGCCCACTGGCACTGGCCGCAGTCCAGACGGCCCCTTACCGCCTTACCTTGCAAAACTCTTGAACGCAGCAGATTGAGGGTTAATGCACAAGGGCACCCTGTTCGTATTGAGCTGCTCTGCGATGAACTTGTGCATCTCCTCTGCAGCGGCGGCAACCGGAAAACAAGGAACAAACACGCGAGGGACGACGAGATGAGAATCGGCTCGGTTGCACGGTAAGACTCGCACCAGCGCAGCTGCGCAGCGCGTCGCTACCCACCTTTGACCTGCTGCACAGACGACAACTTCCTCTCCCAGACGTCGTCGAAGGAGCTGCTGGCGACCGGCTCGAAGTCCGTCGTGTACTGGCGCATGCCGTCGCGCGTCGTGAAGCAGCACTTGCACATGCACGAGTGGTACCGCAGGCGGCCCTCGTCCAGGTACGGGTGCGCCAACGCGTCCATCACGGTGATCCTCTTGTCCTGCAAACAGCGTCCATCAGGCCTGCCTCTCCCGACACCAACGTCCGACAGTCCGACACCACGCCGTGACGGCCGTGGCCCAACGCGACGACTTACCGGATCGAAGACGAGCATCTGGCACAGCAGGTGCACGGCCTCGTGCGTGGCCTGCGAGGACAGCATGTAGAGCGCCGACAGCGAGGGCGGCTTGTGGGGCCGCCGCAGCATGTGGGAGCGGGCGCCGTCGCACGCGTAGCGCATGTCCTCCAGCGACGGCGTGCCCAGCAGCTCCGTGATGAGCTCCAGCTGCAGGGGGCACAGCGATTAGTGGGTGCGTCTTGGAATTTTGGTTTCCACGACATTGCCATGACCTGCGGCCGAGCCTGTGGCGGTCTTTGGTCCTTCCTGTGTCGCGCGCTCGCGCTGCTCACCTGTTGGACGGGGTTCTGCGCCTGGAAGAGGATCCGGCGGCCCAGCAGCTCGCCGAATATGCAGCCCACGCTCCACACGTCCACGGCGGACGAGTAGTGCCGCGCGCCCATCAGGATTTCCGGCGCCCGGTAGTACTGCGTCACCACCTCCTGCGTCATGTGCTTCATCTGGTCGGGCTCCTCCACGCGCGCCAGGCCGAAGTCGCAGATCTGGAGAAACATGGTCAGTTTCCGTATCAATAAAGCGTTTCCAGAGCGAGGACAGGGTCGCCACTTTCTATTTCACTCTACCTTCAGCACACAATTGCTGTTGACCAGAAGATTGCCGGGCTTGATATCACGGTGCAAAATGCGTGCTGAACTCAAATACTTCAGACCTGAGCGGACAGAAAAAGAACAAAATTAGATTCTGACCGAAGGAGGCACAGCGTGGACAAACAGAGATAAGATAAGCAGGATGACGCACCTCTTAAAATTTGATACAGGAATACTTTGATGTGGTCAGCAGATAGGTGCTGGGGTGACACGATGATTTTGTGCAAGTCGCTCTGCAGCAGTTCCGTGATGACATAGCTGCAGCAAGAGAGTTAAGGAAAAAAATCGCCCAACTTGGAAAATAAAAAACATAACAAATAAAAAACAAGGAGGGAAAAAGCAACCAAAAAAAAGTTGAATCCGTGGGCGCCAATCCCCGGTGCGCCAGCGCGACATCGATCGCCCCTCGTGCGAGGGAGGGAGGGAGAGAGACAGAGAGAAAGAGAGAGGGACGGCGAATTCACGACGCCGCGCCAAATCATTACTCGCAGCTTCAGATGAAAACAAGCAGCGCAGGCGAGCAGGCTGGGGGATGAAAACGGAACTGAACTGGGCGGGAGGGTGGGCGGCGGGCAGGGAGGGAGGGAGAGGTCAACCGAGAGAGACGGCGAGCAACGTGGGGGCAACACCCTTCCAGCGGGGCGAGCCCGGCCAGCCCGGCGAGCGCGACGCCGGTGAAGGGCGGCGGGGAGGGCGGGGTGCTTTACATCACAATGCGTCTCGCGGCACAGGCCACGTGCTACCCCCGCCCCTGCCCCTCTTCCCTCTTGGAACCACTTTTCTCTCCGCGGTCCACGCGACTCGTAGTGGCCGACTGCAACCGACGAGCCAGCCAGCCAGCCGGCCTTTCATCGCGGCGCCGGACCAACCCCACCGCGCACCGGCCGCACCGGCCGCACCGGCCACGCGCCGGGGCAGCAGGACGAGGCCTCGCTCGAGGCCCGCGGGCAGATGTGCTGGAGAGGGGCAGCCGCGGCAGCGTCGCGCTGCTGGAGGGCCTGGAGGGAGAGAACGGGCAAACGATCGGCCGCGCAGCCGCGCACCGGCAGGTGAAGACGAGGCAGACAGAAACGAGAAAAAAGGAAAAGGGAACCATGCAAAAGGCCTCTACGCCGAGCCAGAGCGGCAGTGCGCGCCGTGCGCGGCATGGCATACGGTGCGGAGGGCGATGAACTCATTCCGAGCTGACCCGGCCGGCCGGCCTGCGAGGGGCGGCTGGGCTGGCGGCTCGGCTCGCCGGCGGCACGCCACGGGAGCACCACGACGGCGACGGCGGACCCAAAGAGTTATTGGAGGGAACGGCCACCACGGCCAGCATTCCCGGAAAGACGGCAAGGGCAGGCAGGCCGGCCGGACTGGACTACGTGCCGGCTCGGCCGCTGCCCTGGCCACCGTGCCTGTGGCACAGGCTGTGCCCGTCTGTGCCCCCAGTTCGCAGTGCCCTGGCCGCCCTGGCCGGGCGGGGCAGGGTCGCTTCTGCCGGGCAGAATACACCCATGCGGGCCGGCGGCGGCATGCCCAGACGCTTTATGACTCACGCTGGCCGACGAGGCCGCCGACACGCCGACGGAGGACGCAAACGAGACGAGTTTCTGCGAGACCAACGTACCCAGCACCAGCGAGCAGAACGCTGCAGTCAGCGACATTCCGCCCAACTGCACGAAGCCTGCACGAAGCACGCACGACCCGAGGCGGACTTCCCTCGAAGGACGCCCCGCCCGCGCAGCCAGCCAGGCAGCCAGCCAGCCAGGCAGACAGCCACGCCCCGGGCCAGTCAGCCACAGCCTGGGCCGGACTGGGCAGGGCACACCGGACGGACGGCGTCCACGTCCACGACGCCGGCAGGTGCCAATCCGGAGCCAATCATGCCTATTACCAGTGTACGGGTTGTACGGGCCCGAGGCCCGAGCGAGCGCGCTGGCCGGCAAGGTCGACGCGAAGCGCCAAGGGCTGCGCTGGGCCGCTGGGCCGCGCTGCTTCCACCCATCAGCCAATGCCATTTACTGCCAACTTCCTCCAAGGCCCGGCCCGCCGCCCGCCGGCCCGGCCCGTCGTAACCGACGCCTCCAGTTTTTTGCGCCATCCGCTTCATATTTCTTTCTTTTTGCACACCGCGGCGGCGGCGTGTCCCGCGCTGCGCTGCGCTCTGTTCCCACACGGCCAGCTCACGCCATCACGCCGCCGTCGAGCGCCGCGCGCCGCGTCCAGCCGCGTCCGCTACTGACTCACGCCCGCCCCGCCGCCCGCCTCGCTCGCAGCTTCGCCTGCCGACTGATTCCGCGCAGTGCTTTCGTTGCGCTCGCTCACTCTGTCTCTCTCGCACTCAAAGGGAGAGTCTCTGCAGGAGGCGCCCTATGAGACCGAGAGGGACGGCGACGAAAGCAGTGTTCGGAATCAGTCTGCTGCAACGCCTGGCTCCAGCCTGGCTCCAGCCTGGCTCCAGCCTGGCTCCAGCCTGGCTCCAGCCTGGCTCCAGCCTGGCTCCAGCCTGGCTCCAGCCTGGCTCCAGCCTGGCTCCAGGGGCTGCGGGATCCATTTCCTTCTAACGGCCGCGAGCGGCGCGGCGCGCAGCCATGGCGCAGCCTGGGTCCTGGGTGCAGCGGGCGCGGCGCACACGTGTTTTGCAATCACACGTGACCTCCACGCCGCGCAGCGCGCAGCCCGGCGCAGCCGCGCACGACAATGCAGGCGCACCGACTGCAGTCGGACTGCATGCACGGCTGCAGGGCCGTGGCACTGGCACCGCAGCAGCAGCGAGCTAGCAAGCCTGCCAGGGTGAGCGGCGCCACGATCGGCTCCCTCCTCGCTCCCCTCGCCAAGATGACGCTGCGGCTCCATGGCGCTACGGCAAAGTGCTATGCAAAGTGGCGGCCCGGCCGCAACATTTGGTTTGCGTGTCGAGAACAGGGCAGGCGCTAGCTTCTCGCTCCCTCCCGCGCGGGATCCTCGCTCGGTCTTTGTCCGACGCGCTGCCCCCCTCCACCACGTCCGTGCGCGAGGGGGGCGGGGGGTGGGCTGCAGATGCTGGAGTCGGCCGCCGAGCGGTGCGGCGGATAGTGCATGCAGCTGGACCCATTGGCCTTCACGCAACCCGATGGTGTAGGGGTAGCGCAGCGGGTCCTCACGCTGCTGGTGCAGGTTCATAACACCCCCTCCGAAATTTTTTTTGGTCACGTTAGGCCGTAACTGTCACGTGCCGATGGGTCTGTCAACCGCCCTACGATCTGCCGCGAGTAGAGAAAGATCTGTCGCGAGTAGAGTAAGATCTGTCGCGAGTAGAGAACGATCTGTCGCGAGTAGAGAACGATCTGTCGCGAGTAGAGAAAGATCTGTCGCGAGTAGAGAAAGATCTGTCGCGAGTAGAGTAAGATCTGCCGTGAGTAGAGAAAGATCTGTCGCGAGTAGAGAAAGATCTGTCGCGAGTAGCGTAAGATCTGCCGCGAGTAGCGTAAGATCTGTCGCGAGCCCGTTAGGTTAGGTTAGGATGGGTTGGAACCAATTAGTTATGGGATGGAGCCGAACTTGCAGGGTGGAGCGCGGGGCCTGCGGAGGAGGCGGAGAGGGCGCGTGGACGTGGTGGAGGGGGCAGCGCGTCGGACGAAGACCGAGCGAGGATCCCGCGCGGGAGGGAGCGAGAAGCTAGCGCCTGCCCTGTTCTCGACACGCAAACCAAAAGGTGCGGCCCGGCCGAGCCTCCAGGGACTAATACGCCGCCCAGTTGATAACGCGGGGGTGGCTGGGCGCAGCGGCGCAGCGGCGCAGCGAGCCCGAACGCGGAGCGCGGACGGGGATGCGGAAAGGGATCCCCGCAGCCCGCGCCTCTCCCCGCACTGCACCAATTAGGCCACACCAGTGGCCCCACACAAGTGGCCCCACACCAGTGGACCCACACCAGTGGCCCCACACCAGTGGACCCACACCAGTGGACCCACACCAGTGGACCCACAGTGTGGACCGACTCCTGGCACACAAAGGCCTGGCCTCCCCGACGAGGGCCTCCATTTCCACTGGCCCGCCCGGCCCCGGCCCGTGAGACGCGACGACGGCGGCGGCTTTCGCAAAAAGGCGCGGACTCGACCGCCACGACGACGTCGACCCCGCGGCGCGCACGAGTCTTGGCGGTTCTCGGCCACCATCGGCCAGGCGATCCCGTCTCCAGGGGGAGAAATCCCCGCCAGAGGGAGGACGGCGTCGACGTCGGCGTGTTGGCGTTACGTCAGGACGGCCCGGCCCTCGGCCCGGCCCTCGGCCCGGCCCGGCCGCCTGCACGCCGCGCTCCACTTCACAGCGGCGGAGCTAAGCGGGGCAGCCAGCCAGCGCCCGCCCGCTTTCACGTTCACGGCGACGCAGACAGCACCACGGTAAAAACAACCACCGGCGCGGCGCGACGCGAGTGCCAACCCTCACCCATTCAACCGGCTGGTCTCCAAGTCCGCTGCCACGACGATAGCACACGGGCATCGTCGGCCAGCAGGCTCCGGGGCGAACGAGTGTGTGCGCCCGCGCCATATCGCGAAAGGAGCCTCCAGCAATGCACCTGTCCTGGACAAGGCAGGGCGGCACGCGGCACGGCGCAGGGCGCAAAACAGGACAGCGGCGCTGGGGGCGGGGCGGGGCGGGGCGAGGCGAACCGGGCCGGACGTTTCGGTTCGCACCTGTCCCCGCACACCTGCACGACCTGCACCCGGGTGCACCTGTCGGTCCAGCAGCACGCGCTCGCCCCGCCTGCCCCGCCCCGCCAGCAGCACCCACTCCAGCAGATGGCCTGACCCACTTCCCGGCGTGCCCGGGGCGTGCCCCCAGTCTGGAGGCTCCAGAGATGACAGCATCGGACAGCGCCGCGCAGCGCCGGGCGGGAAGGAACTCCAAGACACCGCCGCTATCTGCATCCAATCGTGCGCCCCAGAAGTGCAGCGTCTGTAGCGGCCGCCGCGGCCCGACCCGCCCCGGCCTCATCTCACTCCAATTCGCACAAATCTAATCAGAGCCGCGAGATGGCCACATTGTTTCCTCTCATTTCGGGCCCAGCGGCCTCAGCGGCCAGGCGAGTACAAAAGGATACATTTCTTGGAAGAAGTCGAGGTGTGGCGGCTGCAGGATGTCCAGGGCGGAAAGGACCTGGAACAAAACGACACGGTGAACAAACCAACCCACAAACGCAACGCGGCAAACACACGTTAGCGGCACTCCAATACTTACATTCTCGTGCTTGAAGAAACAGAGCATCTTGAGCTCCCGGAAGACCCTCTTCGACGAGACCAGGGAATGGAAGACATTGGGCAGCTTCTTGAGGGCGACCCGGCGGCCGTCACGGGGATCCGTCACAGCCCTGCAACACGACAAGAGGCCGATTCAAGACGAGCAGCGAGTACACTGCGCTAAGCAGACGCCTTCTCTTTTCCCCCGGACAGTAAGTACCCTCCGCGGCGGCGGGTCGGCCCTGCGGCCACCGGCCAGCGCCCTGCAGGGCATGCCTGCCGGTGGAGGTGCACTGTACTACTACCGGAGAGCCGCTCCGGAAATCAGCGCCACCATACTCCATTCCGTTGCCGCCTTGGCGCATACCGATAATACAGTGCAGTGCCGGCCCGGCGGGCCTGCCGCGCCAGCCCGGCCAATCAGTGGAGGGCATTCCACACGCCGCGGCGGAAGCGCCTCCCATTCCTCGGCCTGGCCGGCCCGGCCTGCCCGCCGTCTCTCTCGCACCTCTCCGGGCCGGTGCACGAGTGCGAGAGAGACGGGGCAACACTCGGAACCGAGCTGCTGCGGACCTGCGGGCCTGCGGTCGGTCAGCCCCGTCTGCATCGCGTCCCACGCGCGCAGGGGCAGGCACGCAAACCGCCACCCATCCCAGCAGCGGGACGGCGGCGCGGGGCGGCGCGGGGCGGCGCGGCCCGAGCCGACAATACTCCACAAATCAAGGCGGAAGGGGAGGGAGGGGCAGGAAATGCCGCGCGGCAGACGCGGCGCGTCGTCGTGAGGCCGCACCGCCGCGGGCATCTTTATGTCCTCGCGGGCGCGACGCGACGCCGACACCGTCGGTGAGGGAGGCTGAGAGGGAAGTACCCGCCGCGGCGCGACTTGCAGCTCGCCGAGGCAGGCCGCCCAGGGCCGCGACGCGACGCCGACGCCGTCGGTGAGGGAGGCTGAGAGGGAAGTACCCGCCGCGGCGCGACTTGCAGCTCGCCGAGGCAGGCCGCCCAGGGCCGCGACGCGACGCCGACGCCGTCGGTGAGGGAGGCTGAGAGGGAAGTACCCGCCGCGGCGCGACTTGCAGCTCGCCGAGGCAGGCCGCCCAGGGCCGCGACGCGACGCCGACGCCGTCGGTGAGGGAGGCTGAGAGGGAAGTACCCGCCGCGGCGCGACTTGCAGCTCGCCGAGGCAGGCCGCCCAGGGCCGCGACGCGACGCCGACGCCGTCGGTGAGGGAGGCTGAGAGGGAAGTACCCGCCGCGGCGCGACTTGCAGCTCGCCGAGGCAGGCCGCCCAGGGCCGCGACGCGACGCCGACGCCGTCGGTGAGGGAGGCTGAGAGGGAAGTACCCGCCGCGGCGCGACTTGCAGCTCGCCGAGGCAGGCCGCCCAGGGCCGCGACGCGACGCCGACGCCGTCGGTGAGGGAGGCTGAGAGGGAAGTACCCGCCGCGGCGCGACTTGCAGCTCGCCGAGGCAGGCCGCCCAGGGCCGCGACGCGACGCCGACGCCGTCGGTGAGGGAGGCTGAGAGGGAAGTACCCGCCGCGGCGCGACTTGCAGCTCGCCGAGGCAGGCCGCCCAGGGCCGCGACGCGACGCCGACGCCGTCGGTGAGGGAGGCTGAGAGGGAAGTACCCGCCGCGGCGCGACTTGCAGCTCGCCGAGGCAGGCCGCCCAGGGCCGCGACGCGACGCCGACACCGTCGGTGAGGGAGGCTGAGAGGGAAGTACCCGCCGCGGCGCGACTTGCAGCTCGCCGAGGCAGGCCGCCCAGGGCCGCGACGCGACGCCGACACCGTCGGTGAGGGAGGCTGAGAGGGAAGTACCCGCCGCGGCGCGACTTGCAGCTCGCCGAGGCAGGCCGCCCAGGGCCGCGACGGCCACGCCACCTTGGCAGCGAATCATAACCACCGGCCGGCGGCTGGCGGCGCAGGGGTTGGGGTCACGACCAGGGACCTGTACCAGGGACGGCGGACGGCACGGCCGCTCCAATCAGAGAGCCGCCGGCCGCCGGCCGCCCCGCCCCGCCCCGCCCCGCCCCGGTGCGTAAATCGCGGTTACGCCAATAACCCATTGGGCCCGGCGTGCCGTCCGTGCCGTCCGTGCCGTCGGCCCGCTCATACGCTCACACATTCCATTCATTTCCGGAGGCGAGCGGTACTCCGCCTCGACAAAGAGAGGGAGGGGAGGGGGCATCGGTACACCGACCGCGCCGCGCCGCGCCGTCGGGCCGCCGAGACGGGCCTAAACAGCGCGCACGCCGTCGCATGATTCATAACGAGTCACACACGTGCGCGCCGCCCCGGGTGACTCAGACCGCACGCGCGGCACGGTGCGTGCAGTGCGCGCAGTGCGGGCTGCCTACCCGCGTCGACGAGCCAGGAACTCCGCACCGCCCCGAAGTAGGCCGCGCCGCGGATCCCCAAATAAAGTGGGTTAGTTTCCGCCAGACGCCAGGCCACACCAAGCCCCTCCCGCAGATAGTGACATTTTGGGCGCGAGGAACAAAGCAGGCGCGGATTGCACGTCGTGCGACGGGCCTCGCTTCGCCGCGCGGCCCGCGACACACGGCCAATACCAGCACACGCAAGCGCGCGCGAGTGGCCAGACTGGCGAATCGGCTGCACGCATCGTTGTTCCACGAGGTGGCCGGCCAACGGCAGGTGCGAGGCGGCGCCGCGCCACGGCACGCCCGCCTGCTCGCCCGCCTGCTCGCCCGCGGCCCGGATAAGAAGAGGCCTGGCCAAATTCGAGCAGGGGCCGCCGACACCACCACGACGACAAGCGCCGCGCCGGCAGAGGCCAGGGCACACCCTCCTCGTCGCCGTATGTATGAGGGGCCTAAACATAGACTTGATGAAGTGCGGAAGGACGCACACAAAGGCGCCACACCGCTGCGCGAATGTGTGCGCGCGCGCGTGTGTGTGTGTGTGTGGCGGTGCGTGCGTGTTTGGTTGGGGGTCGTCGGCGCCACGCCATGGGATGCATCCCAGAGCAGCCGCACTGTGTTTGCGCTGCAAGTATTTTGGGTGCGGGAAGCGCGCGTCGTCGCGACCGCGGATCGCGGAGCTCGTGGAGCTCGTGGAGCGGCGGGTGCTTCAGCTTGCCTTCAGCTTGCCTTCAGCTTGCCTTCAGCTTGCCTTCAGCTTGCCTTCAGCTTGCCTTCAGCTTGCCTTCAGCTTGCCTTCAGCTTGCCTTCAGCTTGCCTTCAGCTTGCCTTCAGCTTGCCTTCAGCTTGCCTTCAGCTTGCCTTCAGCACGTGGCGCGGCTCGGTTCCGCGGTCACTGGCCGACGCCGCCACAACGCCGCTGGGCGGGCGCCTCGCCCGTCCCAGCAAGCACACTGCGGAGCAAGGGAAGGCCGTCCCCGAGGACCCCGCCGAGGACCTCGCCGAGGACTGGGCGCCCCGCGAACGACGCCCCGACCCGACAAATGGTGTCCGCATCGGAAAGCAAGGCGGGGATGGACGCGCGTCGGACGCGCGGCCCCCCAGCGGACCAGTATCGGACTTCCCTGCCGCCCCAACCACCGAACGAGGAGGGGGGAGGGGGCACGCCGAGGCACGCGGGGACGGAGAGGCGAGTCGCCAAGTGACCCTCCGCTGCGGCCACGCCGCACTGCAGTCACGTGATCCGGGACGGGATCCAGGGCGACATGGCTTCGCCCGCTTCGCCGCCACCGCAGGAGCTCCACGCCCCGCAGCATCCAGAAACGTGCCAAGCCAACACAGGGCGCGGAGCGCGGAACGCGGCGCGTACAGGCAGAACGGGACGAACGGGGCCGCCCCAAAAATACACCACGCCTCCGCCACGACGCACTTGGCCGAGAGCAACACCGCGACGCACTGCACCCTCGCCTCCAGGCTCCACTAGACCCTCCCATGCGAGATGAGGCGAGGCGAGGCCCAGAGAAAAATCGACGCCCATCACCTGCTTACGAATGAGGCATGGCAGCAGAGGCCTAAAGGCAGCAGGTAGTAATGCCCTCCGGGCCACCCGCCAGCCGGGCCGGCCGGGCCAGCGCGCCAGCGCGCCAGCCAGCCAATGCCACCTATGACGGCCGCCGTCTGGACCGTCTGGACCGACCGGCCGGGAATGCCCCGAGGGCGCATCCCTAAGCGGGCCCGCGACACACGCTAAGACAAATTAACGCACAGAATGGACACGATCGCGGCGACACCGGCCGATAGGCCGACACGACTCGATAACAATACGCCACGCCCCGCCACGCCTCGACACAATGCCTCACCACAGTAATGGGACGAGGCTGACGCGGGAGGCCGGGCGAGGCGGCGGGAGGAAAAATAAGAAATAGAAACTTCAACTAATCATAATAAAAAGGTGCGCCGAGGAGGACCCGTCGTCCAGATACAGGGGCCCTGATAACCTCTTGATCACCGGCAACCCACAAACCATTTCGTCTCTTTACCCTTTTCTCGCTTGCTCTCTCTCCCGCTCGCTCTTCGAGTGCTCTAGCTGCTCGCCCGGTCACCAATGTCCCAGGCAGAGCGTGGCGGTAGGCACTAGAGGAGCTGTAGTGAGGCGACCGTCTAGCCTACTCGAAAAATGATAATCATCAAGTTAACGCTGATTAACATTCGACTCACAACACTCCATGGCGAGAAGAGAAACGGGAAAAGGGGGAGCGAGAGAGAGAGGGAGAGAGAGAGAGAGAGAGGGAGAGAGAGGGAAATGAGCATGGGGGAAGGGGGTCCAATCTCCCACAGACGCGCTAACTGATACACAGCCCGACACACGCGGGCCGCGCTCCGACACACATCCTTCTGGGAAACAAACCACACCGCACGGGATAGGATGCACCGGGATGAACCGGTGGCTTCGGCCGGATGCTCGCTGCATCGCCGCTCCAACGCATATCGCGGGCCAATGAAAGGGGACATCCAGCCAGCGACCAGCGTACGGGAAGGCGGGCAGGGCGGGCGCGGCCACAAAACGACCTCCCTCTTCCACGTCAAACTATCAAGCCCATCCCGGCCAAACGCGTCCAGAGATAATGAACAAATGCCAGGACGCAACGCGGCCAAAGGGCCGGGCCGAAACACAGTGTCGGGGCGCAGCGGCCCACCGCGCAAACGATGACAAACGCCTCCCCGCCCCGCGGTCGCGGCGTTCGCGGTGT